GGCTAGATTTTTAACATGCATTAAGTGTCACAGAGGAATGGGAATTATTTTTTTGTTGTTTGAGAATAATGGGGAAAAAAGTTAAACAGAAAGAATAATCTTAAAAGAAAGACTAAGACTGTACTTCTAGGAAGACTAGCAGGAGGCTTCAGGAGGCTTTTCAACCAGCAACTCCTTACTGGCAATGTTAATATTAGCATAAAATATGAGGTAACCAGGATAACTCTACAGACCAGGTATGTCCTGTCTCACCCAGCTCTCCAACAGAAGGCAAATTTGAACTGCAGCGTTCAGGGAGGGAGGGAGGAAAGGAGAGAGGCAGCTGAAGGACCCTCACACCCTCCCCAGTCTGTAACCCTCCCCACCAGTCAAAAAGAGGGCTTCAACTTTGCTCAGCAGAAATACTTTTGAGGAGAAATACTCCTGGAGAGGAGCCCTAAGCAGCAGGATGAGGCTACCAGCTGGAAGTAAACTGTTGACAGTTGCTACTTTTTGTCTTTCCTTTGCTCTACCTTCTTTAACCGCTTTCTGCTTCTTACGGTTTGCTTGTGTATTGGCTTCAAACTCTTAAGATCAGACTCTATTTTAACTTTGAAATAGCGCCTAGAGCATGTTTTAGGTGCTACATGTAATTTTACAAAATGATCTCAAATCTGTAAGAGTGAGCTGAGGTAATATTCTGTGCCAAAACGGTAAGTGAAAATTCTTGAAAATGCTAAGGGGCCTGTCTGAATGGGGTAACAGACAGGGATTTTTTTCCCCCAGACTTCCATCTGGAAGCTTACAGAAAGACAGCAGAGTCCAATGTGAGGTTTGCAGGAGGTGCGGTGCGGAAGCCTTGCTGCTGCCAGCATTTCCCCACAAGGCACCTTCACCCACAGACAAACCACAGCAGCAAAAGGCACTTCATTATTGCTCCGCCAAAGAGAAGGGAGGGAGGGTTTTAAACAACCTGCATTGTGCCCGTTGTCTTTAAAAACCAGTGGGGTAATCAAGTTCAGGGCAGCCCCGGACAGCTGCCCTGTGACCTATTCATGCTGACCCCCGCTATTCATCACTTTCCTTAGGACTATGAGGGCAAGCTCCCGGGGAGTGACCACCACAATAGACAGATACGAGCCAACAATAATACGGTTCCTGCAAAAAAACCAGATGGCACTGCAATAAATTTACAAATCTGCATTCATGGCTCTGTTAAAAACACCCAGAAGCTAAAAGGCTGGAGGGGCCCCCAGAGAGCTTCCCCTTCCCAGTTTCTAAAGGCCGGCTCTCTCCCGAAGACTATTGAGCTCATGTTCTTCATAAATGAAGAATGGAGACATAGCCCTTAAAATAACAAATGCCTGACCTAATCAATCTAGTGTTTGGGCCTAACGCTAAATGATAGGCACTGAAAACTAATTATGTTTTTTGGCAAGGAAGTTGAATTAAAATGGAAACACACAGGTTAAAAAGGCACTGAAGCATTTGCGAGTCCCTTTGAAAGGGCAGCACACACAGACACACACGCTCACACACAGGGCTTGAAACAGGAACCTGATTCAATAACTCATGCATTTATTTTTAAAATGAATCAGATTAGTCCCATGTGTGACCTGCCGGTCCATCTGTATGAGCTGGACTTAATGGGCACTCTTCTCACGCTTACTTCAGTTTGAAGTATGAGAGAGATAAATTTAGTTTAATTTTCAACAGATCAAGCTATCCATTTTCCAAATGGACCATCTGGATCAGCCTATTAAAATTAATTTATAACTTTGCAGTGTGAAAATTCGTTTGTTAGCTTAAATAAAGTTGCCAAAAACTTTTGCCACTTGTCATTGTTTTTTCTGAAGTCTGTTTTCATACTATGATTTTCAGTTTACCCCTTCAAAATTTAATTATCTCAGATCAAGCACTCAACAAGAACTGAATGTTTGCATCCTCCCTGTCATAGCTTGGACCTTTTCACTGTTCCAGCCAACAGTGTCAAGTTCATTACCTTTTTCTGTTTCCTCTCCCAGTGCTAACCTCCATGTCTCTCCTGCCTTCCTGCCCTTCCTGCACCTAAGCATGCCAACACAGCCCCACTTGCTGATACTTCTGAAGACACTCTTCTCCAAAAGCCATTTTAATCAACAGAAGAAATATATTTCTCATAGTAAGAGGTCCACAGCACTGAGCAATGGGTGCTTTCAGCCCCTGCTTACAACTTCAGATGCTTAAGTAACCACTACACCTTCTTATTACCTCCATCTTTTGGTATGTCAGTGCCACAAACCCACCCAAGAAAACATTTATGGTGAAGGCTGCAAACCAGCACAGCAAACAAGGCAAGAAAAGGCAATGCACCTTTACTTAAACTTGTCAGCAGCTGAGCATGTTGAGACATCATACTTCCCCTGAACTGGTCTGATGCATCTCATTAATTTCACAAAACTAATTAAAAAGTACTAAGTATGTGGACACTTTCACTGGAAAGACCATTAAAAGTAAACAGACTTCTCTCCTCTCCCCACATAAACACATTCAATTCTTCTGTGCATGTAGGCGCGTGCTCCCCAATAATGAAATTTTAACAGCAGTGTCTTAAGGGAGGGACAGAAAATAGGAAATTGCCTACTCAATATTTAATGTTAGCATCTTTCTGCTAAGGTACTAGTACAGAATTCATCACTTTTTGCATATTATTGCTTTCACAGCATTTGCAGGTCAGATCTTTTTGGTTTTACAAAGTATGGATAGATCTAAAACAGGGCAGCCACTCTACACACCTTCCTGAAGAGATGCAGATCTTTCTACTAAGTCACTCTACTCACTGATTAGGACAGACAAAAGCACTTGGCTGCCTATCTGTCTGTTTCCTGCACCTTCTTGTCCATCACTAATAGAGGAGCAATCTGAGTTTCCAAAACAAATTGACAGCTTATATTTATGCCTACATAAAGAACCAGAATTCCTTCCACCAGAGGCTAAAAATCATGGTCAGCCACCTCCTATGATCTAGACAAGAGCGCATTTGCTTTAAGACTACAGCTTGAACTTGTCCACAAACACTGTTGTCAACAGAAAAGGCTCCAGACAGCAATCAGAAGACCCAAGGATTTTGTCCTGCATCTGTCACTGTAAAGACCGGACACAAAGATGGAGACTGATACAACATCTCAACAATATCCTGAAACACAGCTAACTATCTTTGTCATAAACAATGTCTATGTGAATTACTTTCAATATAAAATATTTGGACAGTACAAGTGGGTTTTTTAGGTGTATTCTTGATATCTAGGCACCTCAGTTACAATGAGTTGTGGGTCTGTGGGAAAGACAGCTTTCCCTGGACACTAAGAATACTTCTGCAGATTGAAATGTCATGGAAAGGAAACTCAACTCAAGAAACTGTACCGTCTTGATCTGTATAATACTACTCATGAATATTTGTTTCCTCCTTAACCAATAATCATGAGGAAGGACACACATGACAAGAAGGCACCCAAGACAGGTAACTTGTATTCCTTTTGACTTAACAACTCTTATTATGAACTTTTTCTTGGAGAGGAGACATATGCCTTTTCTTGTTGAACCTGAAGGCTTGTCATCAATAAGATAACTCTAAGATGAAAAAAACCAAGCAACCAGTTTTCTGGTGTGTTGGCCACCTTGTTGGCTACCTTGAGGATACACAGTAGGAAACTAGTAGCTTTCCCTCTTCCTCTAGCTCTTGTTTTTTGTTGCTGAATGCCAGAAACATTTAAAGTTTGTTGTAACATATTTAATCAATTCTACAAGGTAATTTTCTCAGCAATATTTGGGACCTTACTCATTATCATAGCATACTGCCTCTTGTTTAAGAGACTTACATGGACTATGTCTGTCAGATGGACCAGTCTGAGTCACAGGCAGTCCTTCACATGACATCTACTTCCATGAAATAAACCACTCCTAACACAATACATTATTTTTAAAAATTCAAAAAACCCCAAAGCAACAAAAACCACAAAACCACTCACCCCTCACAAAACCAACTTGGAGCACAAGCACGCTATATCAAAAAGATATTCCTTTCTCTACCATGGTTTTGACCCACAATTCCTCTTGGAAATAGCAGCAGTGGGGCAGTGTATTACCACCCTATTCCTCTGCCTGAGACTGCTGCTCCTCTAGCCGAGATGCAGTAGGAAATGTGCCAGTTCCTCAGCTGCTGCAATGTGTGGCCTGAGTTACTCACTGAAGTCACCATCATCAATAGTTTTACTCTGATACACCAGGCAGCAAACTTGCGCAGCTGAGGCATGGGCATATTTTTGCTTCTGCTGCCTGAAGGTTGCAGTGGGAAAAGCGAGCAAGGTGCTATGTAAAGTAGGCTCTGAAATCACTAAATCCAACTTAAATCCCCCAGAAACCACAAGCCAGACCACTTTGTTGACCACGCAAATTTTAAAAAGTAATTATTTTGAATTGGTAAGAAATTCGCTTGCTTATATATAAAAGGCAAAGAGGTTATGTTCTGTAAGCCCACCATTTCTCCTTTCTACCCATTAGTAATTTATATGACTGTTGAAGAAAAAAAAGCAGGTCATTTTTCAGGTTATTAACCTGGACATCATCTCCAAGAAAATTTACCTTCAAGGGTAAGGAAAAGCTTAATTGTTCTAGAACACTTAGAGATTCTTGAACGTGTGATCTGATGCAAGGCAAAATATACTACAAACAAGACAGGAATGATTACGGAAGAAAAGGCTGAAGATGTCTTAATGAACACCAAATGGAGAAAGGTAAAACTAGAGAGTCACAGCTGACTGCGCTATGCAGAATTCTAGATTTCTTTAGAAAGAATCATCAGACTCTCCTGAAAGCTAAATCTATGTGTCTGATTTTCCTGGGTACAATGTGACTCGTTCAGACTTCAAAGGAGAAAAGAAAGGATTTCCACGAGCACAAATCAGACTTCAGCTTCCAGAAGCATTTAAGGATTCAAATAGCTGGAAAGTTTTATTGCATTTTTAAAGAGACTGATCACATACCTGTCTAAGTGAATTCTTCTCTGGAATGATCTTCCTAGGGGGCTCATCATTATTACAGTCTTCTCTCTCAGAGGAATTCTGTGAAAGAAAGTAAGCTTTAATTCAGTTCTTATCCCTAATATTACTCTGCGAGGAGAAAAGAAACAGAATATTTGCACTACACAGGCTGTAGTATTTCACACATACCGGAGGCTAACTTGTACTTTTAAGCCAAACAGCTTGTTATGGCAGAGAAAAAATTTCTCGTCCTCAACACAACAATGCACCATTGTGCAGGTATCTGTTGAAGAAGCCTGTGCTTTAGGGATTTATTCTGAAACTATGAATAATGGCCACTTTGAAAAGCTGAAATGGTGGCTGGATCAGCATGGCAACACCAGTGCTCCTGAACACCTCAGAATAACTATTTAAAACAGTGGAACGTGTTGAACACAAAAGTTTGTTGCTCGGTGCAACGGTTGTTCTCTGTGCCCCTATGCTCTTAATCTGCCGAACAATTATGAATTGCACTGAGTCTGTTTGGCTGCCAAAAATTATAGAGAAATAATGACAGAGCTAAATTCTGGTGAAAGAGGTTGTCAGGAGATCCTTCAAATTAAAAAAAAAAAAAAAGCATAGGCACCGTGTTATATCATGTCCATGTTTTTCACTTCTGCCCCCTGACTCTACATACATGTACAATTTCTAGAAAGACTGATGCTCCAAAACTTAAGCTCTAAGCCACCTCTAAAAAAAGAGCATCAGTAAGACAAGAGGAGGTGGGCAAGAAGAAATAAGAGGGCTTTTCCAGCATGAGTAAGAAAGACTACCAGGTGACTTTGTCCTGTTAACTTCTTGATTATAACCAAATATTACTTCCTTCAGTGTAAAGACAGGCTATAGTTTATCTCAGGACATGCAGAGCCTGTAGCAAACATTTGGTTTAAAACTGCTGGGTACATGGGGGGAATCCTGTTCTCACTGCCAAAGTCAGCTACTCTGGAAGACAGAGTTCCTTTGCACATTGACAGAGTAATGACAGCCAGCTTTGGGGGAATCCCACACACACATCTAAACCAGTTTGATCGCCACAGTATTCATAGCCTTAGGCCACATTCCCACGCATTCAGTAGTGAGCAACTAAACAGGTTTTAAAGAGATACGGAAAAACTGCTTAGGGAGAGCTCTGCCAGGAAAAGGGTGGTTTTCCAGTTACTTGCAAACAAGCTCAAGAGTGTGTAACTTAAGGCAGAAGTTTGCATTCTGTACCTCTCCCCTCTTGTCCCCAAAATAACCTGTCGTCACTAAGCACGGCTCTGCCCAGTTTCTTGCAGAGCCAGCTTCCAGCCTAACACCTCAGGAGAGAGAAGTGGCGTCTGTTGGCAAAGAAGGAGCTGGGCCCTGCAAAGAGCCAGCGTGGCAGAGCAGGGCCAGCAGAAAGCAAGCAGCCTGCGGGAAGCCATCAGAAGAGCAGTGTGCTGTGTGCCCGCTGCAGTGCTGCCTGATTGGGCACTGTCGAGGCAGCTCAGGTTTGCTGGTCTGCTGAGGGGGAAGAGAAGGTACAGCCAGGAGGCAGGGCAGGGGTAGAAGCTGTTTGCTGAGAAAAGGCAGATAAGGCAGGGGGGGAACACAAGAAAAAAAAAATCCCGCTTGGGATATCATCAACTGGTTGGGATGATCCTGTGTATACCAAAGCTTGCAGACTAACTAGTGATTTGTGGTTTGTTTCGGGGTTTTTTTAAACAAGATATAGAACTCAAAAGGCACCATGACATATGAGCTGCTGTAACCAAGGTTTTATAATGGAAATCAATCCCAAACAGGCCTGAAACATCTCTGTAAGAGGCCACCTTTTAAAAGTTTTCATAGGAGGCCTCAGCCAGGACCAAGTTACTACATTAAATCCAGCTTAGAAAGGGCTGTGATGGCAAAAACCTTACAAACTAGAACCACATATATCCAAAAAGGAAAGTCGGGCATTAAAGCTGCTCTTTTCTGCTCATAAAATACAGTTTAGTAAGGGGTTAATTCAATAAAAGATTTTATTTTTTGTGCTTTGGAGAAAAAGATCAAGTGCAAGAAACATAAGAATCTGAGGTGAGTTACTATCTGTTTCCAGGAAATGCATTGCATTGGGGGGGGGTGAGTGGGTTGTTTACTATTTCTGGATGCTTTTTCAACATCAACTCCCTTCCCTACAATACGCACCAAAATGATTCCCCCTTCCAAATAATTTTTTCTACAACAGTGAAATCTTGTATTCTTCTTGCCTTTCAAAGCCATGAAGGATCCTCCCTCAAAAAAAACATCAAAAAACAGGAAAATCAGTGCTGCTGGTGAACTGTCAGCCCTTATTTTGAAATTCCTAGTTACTGCAAAGCATCAAGTTTATCTACTTTTTCTTTAAGCTGAGCATCTAATTTTAAGAGCAAGCAGAGGACCATTTTGCATTCATTATCTTTATAGGTGGCAAGGCTAAGAGGTTGGCTGAACAAAGACCAGACAAAGACTGCCAAGTGCATATGGTGGTTCACAGCTTGGCGTCTCACCATTCTCCAGCACCAACACAGCAGCTCCGAGAGCAGCCTATTAAAGAGGAGCACTGCTCATGCACTTTTGTCGGCAAGTAAGTTACGCTTGGTGAAGACAGAATGACTGGGAAGCATTACACTTAAGAAAAAGCACAGATGTTTAGAACTCCCGCTCATTTCTCAGGAATAGGAAACCCATCAATCCAGGCGCAGGTACAAGACCCTGCATATTTCAGGACTAACTGTAGCTGCACGGAAGTGAATTTCACTTGATAGGGCAACACTTAGCCACGGCCATGGGAAGAGCATAACATAATCGACTGAAACAGTACATCTATATATTTCTCCTTGCTGAACAAGGTGGGAGGCGGGATAAACATGTGCGAGGTCAGAATAAGGTTTGCTTCACCAGGACTTCAGTGGTGCTCTCAGCCACAAGAGAGGCAGACAAAGGGAGGAACTGCTCTGAGCACCCTCTCGTGGCTACTGAAACGCACATCTCGGGCACAGACCTGGAAAGAAGCATTTGGTATCCAGGCGGGAAGTTAGATGCACTCACTGGGAATATTAAAGATCTGCAGCAACTGTACTTGATACGTAGGAGAGGAATGATGGAATTTGTTAGGGTGAAGGAAGTGAAGAAAACTGGTGCACACAGAAAGCTGAGAAGTCCCTTCCATCAGGGAGAATTTTTACCTCCCGTGGGCAAGCCTTCCCTCACAGACTAAAGCCAGACTGGCCAAAAGTGTTTGTGCTCACGCGCAGGGGTCTCTCCTTTTGAACAAGTACAAGCAAGATAAGATGAGAAGTGCTGAAGCCTCCAAAGCACAAATTGATTAATCTTGGAGAGATAAATACTGCCCCCTTCTTTCCACAGACAAGTAAAATATATATTTTTTTTTACTTGCCCAAGGTCACACAATGACATTAGGAATAGCAGCCAGGAAACCCAAGCTCACAGTTCTCGTAACCTTTACGACATCTCTCTAGCAGGAGGTTCCTGTAAAGGGGCTCTGCCCTCCATAGCTCATTTTTCCTAAAATGGCTACTGTCTGTAATGAGATCCTTTTAAATCTGATTTGCATTTAAAACTTCAGCCTGTAATTAACAGAATATAACTCCATGGCAGGCTGTCTTAAAGACCACTAGGAAATTATTACTATTTAACTCTCCCCACGAAGCCTCCTCCACCACTAAACACAACATGCTACAATGCATACGAAATCCCTAGACTGAAGCGTTTGACAGGAGATGACATGCAGTATTTTGTGTACACAGCCCAGCAAAACACTGCTGGGAACCAGATATAATACAGGGAGAAATGCACTCCCAGGGACTACCAATTGGGCAGAGCCACCTTTAGTACCGCCTCGCTCGTAGTGGTGGAAATCAAACCCCTGCCAACTAGGGGAGGCTTTCTTTGGTGCTGTTCTGCCCTGCACTAATTATAAAAGAGTACAGATGCAGCCTTTTTCCGAGTGTGGGGAGACGGGGGTGGGGGAGAAGCGTGTGTCTATGCAAAGAGCACAACTATTTTTTATGCTTTCAAATTCTTAATCCTGTTTGGAGCTGTCAGTGGGGGTTAATGGAAGCCTTGGATAGGAGAATTCCAATCTGGTTGGCAGATGGATAGGTTGGTTATAGCTGCATAACTATGTCTTGCCTGCAGGCACAATTCAGAACACTGTTAAAGCAATATAAAGTCTCTGTCAAGCTGAACCATTTGGATCAGTAGCAAGGAGAAATAATAATAAAAAAAGGAGTTCATTTCTGGGCCTTGCGCATTTATGCTAGTATGCAGAAACTGATTAATTGTCATCATGTGCTGGTCTGCTATACCTCGGATTTCTACTTCTGGAGTAGATTTTGCATGCTAATATAATCATTCTCCCTCTTGAGACATTAGCAAATAATCAAATGAAAAACAGGATCATAATTTACTGAGATTCGGGCAATTCTCTATGCAAATTTGACTTGTTATTGCTGCTGCCTCGTTAATCTGAATGCCTTTGACAAACTCCTTTGATTTATGAACTCATGACAACTCCAATGTGTATATATTTTGCTAGATTGACATTATCATTAAGAGTGGGTGGACTGAGCTCACATGAATGGCTGATTTTATTCGCTGGTGTCTGCTGCTCAACAGCTGAGCATCTCCTTCTCACAAAGCCCCTGAGCGCCAGGCTCTTCCCATCTACCCATCCATTCATCATCTCGATGTTAATTGGCCCAGGCTTTAAGCAAATTTTCAACACGATTTAAAGGCACGATGACACTGATTACTGACCCTCTGCCATACGGTGCCTATTGATTAACCTGACAGAGATGATGAGCTTGAGGGAAACTAGGTGTGTGTGGACCTCGGGGGGTGGGGGGGGGGAAAAAAAAAAAAATATTGTTTATGCAGGCAAAACACTTGTCATTATCCCAAAGGCCAGAATTTGTGCTGCACTGGCCCTTAAAACACACTATTGCTTTAAACACCTGCATCCAATACAGAAAACGCTTGCTTGCTGTGGAAAAATGATTACAAATTTGATGTCATGTGCAGTCTGTATTTTAATC